TGACATAAGCTGCATGAGGCACTGGCTCCAAAGTTTCGTCGTTCTCACAATCTGGTTCCTCCAAATAGCTCTCGCCACGTACTTCATTCACAATGCCCCAATCCGTGCATGGTTCCGCAGTGTCTGCATCATCATCGGCCGTAATTAAACCATCACAACAGATGTCTCACCCGCTCTCCCAGGTCGGAGTTGACGACGCGCTGCCACAAATCGCCGCCGCAGTTCGGAAGCTTCAGGCTCGGCATCGAGCCCGACGTCGTACGAAGTCGATTTCGCGAAAACAGTTTCGCGCCCATGTAGTCGTCACCGCCGCCCACAAAATATTCACCATCTCCACGGCTGAATACCGGCACGCCAGAAGGGGCAAGTTGGCTGCCAGGTGGTCAACAACTATGAGCAAGCGCTCTGCAACGCGGCACCTAACGCGTAGATTACGCTCAAGCCAAGCGGTCACACTATCTACGTTTTGTTGAGCGGCAGGAAAAAGCATGCTAGTCCTCCCGTCGGCCATCATGACCACACACGCACACCAAGAGAGAGCAAGACGCGCACACGCGACACGCATGCCAGCACGCGTGGAACAGCTCTGGGCCCATTTCCAGTCAGAAAACGAAACTAATTTGAACCTTCGTGGCGGGCGTCACGGAGCGATGGAGACAGGCAAAGGGGTTGTGATCAAGAGAGAAGAGCAGACTTGCGAGAGAAAGGCAAGGAGTTGCGATAAAGGGAGGGGAAGATGCGGCAGGAGGGCGACCTTGGAAACCAAAACACCTGGGAAGGAGGCAGGTTTGGTAGCTTGCATGAAAGGTCCGCGAAACTCGCACGTAGAAAAACTTGGAAAGAGTGCCTGCGCGCGCAGAAGTCAAAGCATGGCCGCCTGGATCGGTGCGCGCAGCGTTGTTCAAAGAATTGGCGGCCGTGGTCAAAACATCGTTTTATTGCGCCGGCGGGTTTGCATGGCCTCACGAACTTTGATATTTCGCGATTCGTTCCGCACAAATCAACAGCCGTTTTCAAGCTCCCACACGCGTGCGGAGACATGCTGAGACGAGTGCGAAGTGAGCGAGAACAAGTCCTAAACACCAAACGAATTGCAAATTATCAGAGTCGGTGGGGTAGCATACGCGCATGCACTAGACGCAGACTATCGAATGCAGTTGGTGGCCGACGATGTTGGTAAATGGTCTGGTCACTCCAGGCCTGCAACGCCAACGACAGTACCAGCGATCAAAAACAGGGAAGATGGCCGACCGGTTTTCGAAAGATCGGTGGCACTGTGAAAACACGGGCCTCGTCTGGCGATGCGGGGTGCTCAGAGTAGCAGGGGGACAAAGTACAAAGGGGTGCGAACAAAAAGCAGTCGAGGCATGGAGGAAGGAAACAACTTTCCTTCCTCCATGGGTTGGGGAGAGTGGCAACTAATAAGTCGCGGAGGCAGGATCGGCATTTATCTATATGAATGTATGGGCCCCTCGCCGATGCCTGATCGGTGGTCAAAATTGGTAAGTCGGCAGACCGTTGACTTCATTCGCTGTAACCGATCAGCGGCGCTCGGAGACGTTCGTTGTAAGTGCAATTTTGTGCCATTGAACCAATGTATATTTTCACGGTCATGCGGATATTGTTCGTTTTAAGCGAAAGTTCGTTTTAAGTGAGGCAGTTATATGTGGGCTCGGCAGTATCACATGCGAAACTAGTAAGTTCAGGGGTGGTGAAGGGGTTCAACTTCTCCGGTTTTTTGGTTACACCACTGGTTCACTGCAAGATGAAAAATTTGCTGCTCACAATTCAGGCCGGCCAATAAAAGGGATTTATTCTTTCTGTTTTTTATCGGTCTGGCTATCCGCTACTGCTCAGCCTTTCTCAGTCATGTAAAAAAGACACCTAGGAGCGTGTTCATTCGACTGTGGACACTTGACCAGGGGTGGCAGTGCTGTGTCAATTGCGCCAATCTGACCTGCTGTGCCGAGCTATGCATAAATGACAATTTTCGAGTACATTGTCAAACTTAGCCGAGTCCTATCATCGACTGAGCAACACACGTTATATACACGAAGTACGCAGATGCATTCATATTCTGTATAGTTCAGCCATGTCGTATTCGGTGCATGCATGTAATGTGTTTGCACCGTGGATGAACTTAACACCATGCATAAATTTTGCACCACATGAACAAAATGCACGGATCTTGTTTCTTTTTAGCAGTGAAGCTGTTAGTCTAAGTGTAAAGACGGCAGGGGTGTTGCAAAAAACTCGCCACGTTGTTGCCGAGCAATCACAGATCACAGCACATGCTCTGCATTGGAGTTCCACAAACCACAAAAACTGAAAAAAAGTCAGTTTTTTCTCGAGGGCAAAACAATAAATCGAATAGCAACAAATTGAATGTTATGCAAAGTGAGGCTGGCAGCTAGCTGTGTTAAATCTTATATAGCGTAACTCTACAAAATGCTGGTTTGAAAATACGGTCGCTCTAGGGATAAATCCTCTTTTCGCACAGTCTCTTCACGTTGAGAACCCAGTTTGTAATAGGGTTTATGAGCCATGCGCTGATGCTTGCCGAGATAGCGTGCTACCATTTCGGGAAGAGGGCGCTTGCTCGGTCCACACCGAAATTCAGGATGGCAGTGGGACACTTGCTTATAATAAAAACCCATCCATGTGTCTAATGAAATGGCTTATTTAGAAAGCGCTTCATAAACAACATTAGATACGCATTCAGTGTAATCATTCTTGTGGTTCTTTTTACACAAACAGTGCTCGTGTTGAAATGATCACCAGGCCTGCACGGAACGTATAGCACAGTCACAGGGAAAGGTGGAAGAGCAGCCTTTCAGCGCTTTTAAACACTCTTTGGATAACTTCTATAAGCACGCTTTCAATGTACCCACTAGGCCATTTTTTATCATAATTTTTGTGCAGTAGGGAGGCGTTCTCTATGCCATCTTTCATCATTCTTTGGAGAAGCGTAGTATCTGCTACACACTTGCAAGGAATTTCGTGCAATTTTTCGATGCTGTGGCTGATGACGATGAAGAATTATGCCCGAAGTTCTTGTAATGGGTCAGAGCACTTGACCGCCCACTCGTTACACACTTTGCCTTGTGTTAAGCCTTGTTGTTCTTGTGCTGTCCTAGTATGCTTTATTACTCATATTAATACGATTCCTTTCCTGACATCAAGCCTGCCTAAGGTCAATTTGAAACGGATTTTCTAGCACCAGCGTGGCTCTGTGGTAGAATACTGGACTGGCAAGCAGGGTACCCGGGTTCGAATCTTGTTGTGTCTGTGGGGTTTTTTATTTATTTAATTTTTTTTATGTCGGGCAATAGTGGTTACGGACACTAACGGCAGACAACCTTGGTGCACGCGACCTTTGTTGTGATCTGATAATAGCTTTCGCTGTTAAAGAAGTGGCCACAGGAAAGAGGGGGGCTTGCTCACTTTTTGGCTCGGACTTCATATCTCCCCAAAAAGGGAGTGGGGGGCGCTTGCTCGGCATTTTACGGTAGGTTAGAGTAGTACAGTATAACGTGGACAGTCGTTTTGTCGACTGCTTAACTGCTTGCTGCTGCACCTCTCTCCGCGTGCGTATCGAGATGTCCTGCACTTTGCTTGTGCATAGTGGGGTCAGGCTTTTCAGAAAAATTACACTAAAAAGCTTCTATTTGAAAACCATACATTCTTGACTCTTCATGAAAAGTCTAGGATCATTGCTGAAGCTTCGAAAGAAAAAGAAGGCAGATATATTGCAGAGCATCCCTGGCAGTTTTCAAATCAAAAATCTGCATAACCTTCTCAGTCCCAAGAATGCACTAATGAGAAAAGTTTTTGCAAAACTGTATTATTTAGCTTTCTGCCTTTAAAAACAAATGCAGAAAAATTATGAACTAGAAAAATTGAACAGTTGTTTCAAAATTTGATGGTCCCCATTTGGGTATTCCTGAACTTTTGAATTCTCTACGATACTATGGAACAAAAGTATTAGACCTAAATAACTTTGAATATTATCTTCAGGGTGTCCACAGTAAAAAAAAGTACTATAGACATTGTCATTCACGCTACAACTAAGATAAAAAGCATTAACTTATCACAAGGAACTCCTGCGGTACTCAGCCATTTTTGTTCGCTTGTTTTCCGTATGTGACCAGACACACGGCACCACTTCTCGGGGCTTAGTTAAAGTAACTATTGCTTATTGTGGTAAGACAATTTCGGACACACAGATATAAAATTGCGGTTATCTGTAGGCTTTAAAACGATGGCACCCAATCGGTTACCCTGAGAAAGAGGAGGATAAAGCAGTGAACAGAGCAAGATCAGCAATTTATTCAAATGATTTTGGATTGTGCAACAAGACTGGTGGGCATATTTTTTTATGTTTAGAAGTGCTCCCACTAGGGGCTAGTTAATGTGGCATTGCAAAGTGAAATGATGTGCTGCATAGATGAAGAGAAACTAATGGCATAAGAATGCAAAACCAACAATGATCTTGCGCACTAACAACTTTAGTTGAATCGCTTCACGCGTCAAGTGTATATACATGAATAATTAAAGGTGACATGTGCAATTACTCAAAAAAGAGTAAAGAATCAACACAGAAGTGTGATGCAGCAGCTCCAGCGAGCACATGTCTTTAAGACATCAAGGAATTCATCGAACTCCATCGCGTGTTCTATTTTCGCCACAACTAAATTCCTGCAAGAACAAACAAAAACTGTGGCGATATTATCGAGGGATTCAACTGTATGTGATATTCATTGATGTCAGATGGGCATTACTCATTTAGTGTTTCATCACATGCAGCTTGATGATTAAAGGCTCAAAGCACTGAAATGGGGGGAACAGTGGTATTGGTGTGCAGCTCAAAAGCTGAAGGAGTTCCTGTATCAAATCTGTCCGTTGGAGCTTTTGAGACCTCTTAGAGAGTCTGCGAATTTTCTAGGTGTGTGATACCGAATCAGCATTGGTTTCACTGTTGGCATGTTTTCCTGTTACAGGAGAGGACTCGAAAGCTGGGCTCCAAGATCCGGGAGCTGGTTATCCTGCCCATCTATGCCAACCTGCCCACAGAGCTGCAGGCTAAGATATTTGAACCGACACCCATGGGTGCTAGAAAAGTACAGTTGTCCCATTTTTATATGCTTTGGGCAGTTTGGTTTACTGATTCGTAGGTTTTGCATATTTGGATTGTTCGCAACCTTGGTTTTGTCCACAGTGGTTGCGGCCATAGAGTTTCCTATGAATACACTCGAGGGAACTCTGGCTGAAATGCATGGTGCTTCAGCGAGCATGGGAATGATGGGTAGTACACGGAATTGTCTAATTTTCGTACTTTCGGCTCCAGTTGACTTCGTGTGGCTTTAAGTTGCTTTGTCACGAAACAAAAATCAGCAAATGTTACTTTAACCTTTCAGGCTCACCATTTAGTATCAGGTCACGAAGTTCAGAAGGTTTCATTCTTTCCTTCAAATCAAAACCAAAGCACTGCAATAAACGAAGCCATAAGTGGGATTCGAGGCTCGCAAGTACAGTTGGCTCTCATTAATTCAAACTCAAAGGGACCTCCGAATTTTGTTTGAATTATTAAAAGTTCTCAGATATATGACTGTGGGTGAGATGACACCATACATTATGATTACGCATTAATTTTATCATACTTAGAAATTTTTGAAGCATTTTTAACACCTAACTGCACAGAATGGACAGAGAGCAAAGGTGCAAAGCCCACAAGCTTATCGGCCATTTACTGCTGATGAGACCTTTTAAGATATTGTGAATTGCCAACTGCTTCATTGTTGTATGTGCCTTCAGCACAAAGCTCTCTCCTGTTGAGAAAGATCATGGTTTACCATTCATGTGCTTTGTTTCAAACATTTGTTTTTTACTAGCAAAGCCTTCTTCTTTGAAGATCTAAGGCACTTATTTTTCATATTTAGGCTTTTAGGATTATATAGGCACGCAAGTTTTTAAATAGTAGTGCATACCTGCAAAGTCTCCAGGATTGGCCGGCAGGCTCTCGGATTTCGATCGTTTTTCCTGTTTGTACAGTTGTCATGAAAATCTCCTGGAAATCGAAATTTCTGTGCGTGATCTGGCCGTATTGACAAAAAAGCAGCTCGATCCGCTCCAGATTTTTTGAACCTACCCCATTTTATTATAAATGAGTTTAAGAGGCGTTCGTCTAAACATACAGTAGAATCTAGTGATGCAAAACCGTGGCAGATACGAATTCGCAAAATTCCTCAGCCAAATTTCACTATGTTTATTGGGCCTAAAGTCGAATGTTTCGAACACATTTCCTAATCGTGGCAGGCGGCTGAACGAAGGCCGAGCTATGGTGGCTAGAAGGAGAGGTGTCAGCATAGTGCCGGCCGCGCCTTTAAAGGGCGCGTGCTGGTATTTCATTTCTCCGCCAGGTGGTGCTCAAGTTGTCACTGAGATCCGCCGAGAGAGTCACCAGCCGCTAGCACAGCATCCTTAGTCACTTGCTCGTGTGTTCGCAAATCGCAACGTCTGCGCTGTGCCTATTTGGACTTGTTCGGAATCAATACGTACCAATTTGACCATACCACAGTGATGAGTAAACAGCAACGACACTGCTTTGCACCTGAATGCAATGTAGGATATGTTTCGGCCCACAAACAAAGGAAGAAGGCGTCTGTCTTCTCTACTCCCGCCGACAATGAACGGCGCAAGGCCTGGGAGCATGCGATTCCTGGCGCTGACAAACCGCTGGAAAAGAACTGCATTGTGTGCGAAGCTCATTTCGACGAAAGAGTCATCGTCCATAGCTACAAGCGTGTTATCAACGGGTTCTTAGAAACTTGGGAAAAAGCTTTACCTAAGGACTGTGGGTTTCTGAGTGAATCAACTGCCGAAAAACTCCGCGTCACTCTAACCAGCACCCTTTCCATCCTGAACTATGTCACGAAAACCTTGGACTATGAATACTTCATGACGTCTCGCCTCTACCAAAATGCACTTAAAATCTTTTTACTATTCTGAAGCAAATGTCTGGCTCGAATGATCACCCTACGTTGACACAGTTTTTGATCTCTGTCAATTGTCTTAGTGTTTACAGTTTGGCACAGTCACCCTTCAATGGAAACATACCTTCTGGAGTTCTGAGCAGCCTTCTATGTCCGGGCATCCACAATAATTCAATAAAACTGCAGAATAAGCTGGATGAACTGCTAAATGTGGGGCCCCTCAATGAGCTTCATGAAATGATTGTTACCTGTGAAGCCCTCTCTGACCACACTGATCTCATTGGACGCAAAAGTGACTCCCGGGTCACTTATTACGTCAGTGGCTATGTGGCCCAGGAGATGGTGAAAAAGACGAAGTGCAACGAAGGTAACAGGTTTTTGCTTCACTCTTAGAATTCGAGCTTACTTCCGGCAGAATCATGCCTCACACGTTATATAGACAGCGGTGGCCTTCTGTACCCGTCCGAGCCCTTAACAGACCTAGTCAAAGCTATGGAAGATGCAGTCACCTATTGCTTCTGTTTCAACAAGTTGAAAAGGGACAGCATAACAGACCTTATCTCTTGACTGTCTGTGAAGAGGTTAAATATGGTCGGCTGTGACCACCACAAACTGGAAGTGACAAATCAGAGGTAATTAGATTCTTTACACTGACCAAAATGCATTTTGTCGTTGCTGGAGAAAATGCATATGACTTAAGTGTCAATGTTAACTCAGTGAACAAGATTTTATTTTATGTTATTCTGCATTACTCACACTGTGTTGTTTCTTGTGATTTTACTATTGTCTTGCTCACATTGTTACAAATCTACCATCAACAACTGTGATGTCACTGTCTGGCTGTGTTTCACATACGCAGAAATCAATTTTTTCGTGAACTGGTTTGTGACTGTATCTATGTTTGCCTATCCAATCTCAATGTCATGTGTGTATGTATGCCCATTGTATCATCATATATTTACTGTTCTTTTTAGTTGCCTTATTCACTTGCTTTATGAGTTTCGTATAACTTGTAGTTCTCTCAAACCTTAATGCATATGTTGTGTTTATTTTTCATGTTGCTGTTCGCTTTCATGAAAACAAATGTCTTTCTTCTAAAATTAGACACTGATTGCACAAGTCATAAAAATTGACCGTTGTCGATACTTTACCTCCATAGAGACGTCACGGAGAATACTGCGGCATCAAAGTGAAAACTGCACGGACTTTGTTTTTATGTGAAGCTCATGGCAAGTCATTTGATGCTCTATCTTCTAAGCTTCATAGCTGATATATATACTATGAAGTGAATTGAGAACACTAGTTTTCAGTGCTGCCTGAATTGTGACAGGTAGACTTTGTTATAATACGCAGGGTAGCGTGAAATATTTGCAACGAAAAACGACTGATACCCGGGTGCGAGGAGGGGCAGCTCGAAAGCCACTGCAGCGCTGCCGCATCCGGATGAATTCTCGCTCGCTCTTCGGCGCGCTGATGCTGACACCTCTCCTAGTGGCCACCATAGTTGAGCGCAGTGTACGCGATGCTTCGGAAGTGCGCGTGCAACTGGCGCACACAGTGTCTCCTGCAGTGCCTGTGATTGTCGCTGCCACAACCGCTGTGGACGAAACCACGGTCGCTCTTGATGCAATCATATATGGTGACGACGTAACTAACAGAGCTCGAAAGTGTCCGCTCAACCAGTCAAGGCAACGCTGCTTTCCACAAACCCTGCAGACAAAACTGCAGCTGATGCGATCGTAGATGGTGTGAAACGACTTAGTTGTGAACGCGCCTGCGCAGCTAAGCGAATGAGGATTGTAAAAGGAACTACCATTTGCCGCAGCTGCCACGCACAAAACCACGGCCGCGGTGACACGATAGCGATCTATGAGTTCCGAGGGCATGCAGTGGTAGATAAAAGGCAGTAAATACGTAACAAATAAAGTCAGTTTCGCCGTAAGGGCGAAGCAATGAATCAGCAAGCAGATCGAAATGTGCAGCGCACTGCTCACGCACAAATGGCGCACGAAAACGCAACACACGGAACGAGAGCCGCTGGACACGTAATGCGTTGTTTAAACAAAAACGATGCACGATACGTAATCAGAGGTACAGACGAGTACAAACTAACAAATGTCCCAGTTGTCATACCTCGCTGTATTTGAAAAGTGCGCTCCTTTAGCAAACGGGGCCTGTGCAGATAACGAAGTGAACTTTGGGGGCCCGGCAACTAACGCAATCATTCCAGTGAAAGCCGAAGGCACACGATTCTCCCCGCCAAAGGATAAGCTCGCGCACAAGCATCTCACCCCCTCCCCCCTCCATCTGTGGGGCAAAGTATGCGTGAGCGATAAGCGCGCGTCGGTGCATCGCAACTAGCTGGGTGTCAAGCGCGGGTGGCTTTTTTAAAGACAATGGTCTTTGTTGGGTACCTTCGACGCAAAAATTTTGGTCTGTCTGTACATTGCTGTTTGTCCGCCCTTAAAGGTACCTTAAAAGGTGTCTTAAACTGCATTAGACGATTCCCCAAACGGCCGACCCCATCCGCAGCACCCACCAATATTGCTCAAGATTCAGTGTTCATATTTGTGGGATTGTCAATTAAAAAGCAATTATGGCACATATCTGAAGCACCATAACAACACATCAATATTTTGTATGTGTGTCTTTTACTAGAAAAGACATACGTAAGTAATTCTAAGGACCGTAGCGTTCATCACGCTGTGCTGACCATGCAACGGTTGCACAAAAAGGCGAGTGTTTCCAACGCTTTGCTAAGACGACACAGTGGTGGCACCTACCCGTCGCCTTGCTTTCTCCACCTTATCACCTCTGAAACGTGCGCGCTCGCCGCGCACTTCGTTCTTCGAGATAACTGCCAGATAGCACTCATGTCTCACGTGTGACGTGACTTGATGCCCTCGTTCGCCTCCGCTGCACGCTCGAGGCACTCTAATGCAGCACCTCGACAAATCCCATTCACCGATTTCTTGCGCAGAACATCAAATAAACGTTTTGTTCACTCTCTCCAGACGCAAGACTATCGTCTTTCGACGACATTTGCAATGTAACATGCAGATACGGGGCCAATTTTTTCTTTCTTGAGTAATCATATATATAGGTCATCATCATTATCATCATCAGCC